GAAGAGAAACTATGGAATGACAACCCTTACAAGTAGTCCTCAAATTATGGTCAATCATTCAAGTAAGTTGACCAAATTTGGCTCATTGACCAAATTATGGTCAATGAGCAAGTAAGAAGAGAAACTATGGAATGACAACCCTTACAAGTAGTCCTCAAATTATGGTCAATCATTCAGCGACCGTCGTAAATTACGACAGCGCTGAAAAATGTGACTAACAACTGATCCTCAACCCTACGGTTTCTTGATTGTGATTTGGTGTTTAGCCACTGGCTCCCATTTACGATGATTGCACCATCCCTGGGGTCATAATTGGTGACCTCTGTCAGCTTAGGTCAAGCAAAGTCAATGGGGAAGGTCACAAGTCTCACTTAATGACGGACAGCACTTCACAACAATCTTTCCAGTCTTAATTGTGGTCGTAGGTTAAGGTCTACCTGCGTGTCCACCCAACTGGCTTTCTCAAATATGGCAGGATCACTTTGGGAATATTGTAGTGGTTAATTTTTCGTATTTTCCTTTCTAACATTCAACGTGCTCCCTCAAACCCATCTGTAAACAGGGATATTTTTCAAGCATTTCTACAACCTGATCCTCCACATTTATTGGGGGTCACAATTCCCAAAATTTCACACCCCAATTCCCTTTTTCAAGACAGTTCATGGTTTTCATTCCCAACTCGAAAAGACAAAACTTTGCTTCACCTTTTCACCGTTTGGCCCCATCAAGCATCTCAGCTACGTCACACCCCTAAAACCAAACTTTCCAATCCCTGCAAATTAAAACTTTAAAAAAAGCCAGCTAAACACGGGCTCACCTCCCGCTATTCTTAACATCGTAATTTTAAATACCGGTTTTAAAATTGGCAGCTACCTCTTTGCGTAAAGAAAAGAAAAAAAGACAAGACACAACATTAAAAGTATCCCGAGAAGAAGACCGAGCCAAGAAGAGGTTACATCCGATGTAGTTTCCATCCGAAAAGTCATATCCATGAGTTACACCCTCTTGCCAAGACACACACACACACACATACACGGGGTAAAGGTTCCCCTTGCACATATGTGTTACTCATTCCCAACTCTCTGTTTCAAAGCCAAAGAGCCAGCGCTGTCCGAGGATGTCCCCGTGGTCATGTGGCTGGCATGACTCAATGCCAGAGGCCCACGGAAGGCTGTTCCCTTCCCACCAAAGGTGGTCCTTATTTTTCTACTTGCATTTTTTTACATGCTTTCGAACTGCTAGGTTGGCAGAAGCTGGGACAAGTCACGGGAGCTCACCCCATTATGCGGTGCTAGGTATTCGAACCGCCGAACGTTTCTGATTGACAAGCTCAGCGTCTTAGCCACTGAGTCCCTATGAAGAGTACATTAGAAGAGTAATCAAGGTGCAAGATGGATTCCGATAGGGATTCCTCATTCCTTTAACACAGTGTTTCTCAACCTTGGCAACTTGAAGATGTCTGGACTTCAAGTCCCAGAATTCCCCA